GTCTGGAGACTTTTTGCAGGGAACACAGCTTTACAGGGAGGTTTTCTTTACTTTCTTAATCTGTCTGGCAAACAGCATACCACAGCACCCTCAGATAGCAGATTTTCCTCTGTCTGTGCTCTATATAGGCTTCATCTAATTATTGTGTGTCCTTACAATATCAGCAGAGTTAAATATAATTACTTGAGGCTCACTGTAAATATTTGAGGTTGAAAATGTCCCTTATAACCTAATGGCAGCAGTGCATGTCAGAAAGAAGTAACAACATATTGTAAGTTGTTTTTTTAAAAACTGGCTGATTAGAGACCAGTTTTGTGGTTTCTCTTACAATGGTGGAAATCACAGAATGGGATAAGGACGTCGGTCCAGAGTCAGCATGAGAGGCAGTAAAGCACAAGCTCTGGTACAATCAGCATTCCCCAAACACTCCGGGGCAGCCAGGAACGTGAAAACTACCAATTTCCACAGGATCAGACTTCCACAACCAAATCAGGGCTATCAGTTTTTCTTTATTTTGTTTCAGCTTGCCTTTGGTCTTACAGCTCAGGAAATAGCTTGAGGTTTGGACCATGACCAGAGCAGAGCTCTCTAAAGCTATACAGCCTTCATTCACTGCAACAGAACAAATGACTAACACAGAAACATGATACATACATTACATGTAATGAAAATTGTACACATCCATGGTTGTGTGATATATATATTTTTCTAATCATGACCAATTTTATTAATAATAATAATTAGGGCTAAGTTGACAATATCAATTTCTCAATTTTAATCAATCTTTATTTTGATGAACCAATATTGATTCTTAAATGCCAAGATCAATCTTTTAGTCTATAAATTTTTTTTGTTGATGTGTGAACAAAACTTCACTAAAGATTATTTGTGCATGCGCATGCCATCATATGAATCGCAATACGTTTTGTGCTTTGTTACTTTTGATATTAAACAAAGTCTCAGCTTTCAAATTCTGTCAATTTTATCAGGAAATCCAAACAATAAATGTCGTTTTGTTACTCTTTAACGTGGAGTGACAACTCGCTGCAGCCAAATTAGTTGGTATTCAATCAATAGTGTGGAACACTTGAACCAATCATCTTTTTCTCTTTTCTAATTACAGCGTGAAATAAACATGAATGAAAATCAGAAGGTATGTTGAAAGAAAAAGTACAACTTAATGAAATGTATCATCCCTCATGTAACCTTTCAATCAGGTTTTCAACTGCAGAAAGACAAAACGACTTGTAAACAATATGTAACATAACATTACATTTACCTCATCAGGAAAGTCATTCAATGTCCATAACTTGCTAGTCAGCTAGAAAAAAAATGGCTCTAGAAAAGAGCATTTTGCTAAATACATGCACTATATTACATAGGCTATTCATTTTATGACTCATATTTAGGGATGTAACGATTAATCGCGAGCCGGTTGAAAATCGATTTAAATATGTGACGATTCAAATCGGTTGAGATGCTAAACAAATCGCGATTCAATTAGGGGTAGGAGTTTATATGAATGTATGTCTGAGGGGAACTTACTGTCTTTCGATGGTATTTTTCTTTTCCTCTTGACTCCGTATAACGCATATCAGGGCTCCAGACTCATTCTTCCCACTGGTCGCGCTCTTTTGCAACTAACTTTCTCAGCTGGTTGCACGAGCATAATTTGGTCGCAATATTTTTTATTTTTTTTTGCGCTACAACGTGGGATTATTCAATGCATGCTGATGAACTTTTATCATAGTTTATAGTTATATGGAAACGAAAGTTGTTAACATTCAACCCATTCTTTATCATCAGTAGTATTATTTGTGATTTGAATTTTGTGAA